AGAGAAGAGAAGAGAAGAGAAGAGAAGAGAAGAGAAGAGAAGAGAAGAGAAGAGAAGAGAAGGGATGGGAGGAGAGAGAAGAAACTGTGGTCAGGATTTAAAATAGTAATAATAGTAATTTAATTTTTTTTCAAATTTTTCAATTGAACTTCAAATCACAACATGTGTTGTTTAGTCGACTTTAATATATGTTTTTACTGAATTGAATTTCTGACCTCCTGCATGCTAGAGTTGAATTTTCATGGTGGTCTACTTCTCTAACTAGTAGCAGTTCTTTATTTTTTTAATGTTAAAACAGACTTACCATTCTGACAAGCAGCCAGTATAAAATAATTTTGACACAGGAACATTTTACCCCAAATATTAGTCAGTTTCTATTTTATAACATAGATGCCTCTATTGATTAAAAAATTTACATCTCATTTGTATTAACTACATTTCTTAGATTCAATAGCCAGGAATGAATGGAAGATAGAGCACAGGTAACATAACTATGGAAGATGAGAAGATTATTTCATTGTGTTTCAATTTATTTTAATTCATTTTAATAACTCAGAACTCTATTTGTTCTTCATTGTTTGATATATGTCTTTTATTGAAGAATTTTTTTTCAAAAAATATTAGAAGACCCAGAAGCTAATCATAAAATTCTAAAGAAGGTATACTTTATCCAGTCTATTTGAGAACATAAATACAGCAATATTTGGTCTGTTACTGGAGTCTCTGAAAACAGGGCATCATAGTATTGAATTAAGTTATGCACTCATTGATGCAGAGTTCAGTTTCTTAATGTTCAATTTCTTCATCTACTCATACCTACATGAAGAGGACCTGCCTTAATTAACTGAAATGAGGACAAATAAGTATATTTATATTAAGTGTTTAAAAATCTGTCTGATGCAGTGTGAAATAAAAATTTTATTTGTAGCTGTGCCTATGGGTATATTATCAACCCAGGCAAGATTTTATTTTCCATTTGACTATTCCCTTCTATATCTGGGCCATTAATTCCATGTTTTTTAGGGTCTATCTGAATTAATTACACATTAATTTCACTTCTGCATTATCTGCATTCTTATTTCAATTCTGCTTATGTTCTGACCGTGATGAAATATACTCTTTCTTTTGTTCCACTTTGTGCCTCACCTTGACAGGGTTTGCAGTCATGATGTCTTCCAAGTTAGTGCGCAGGATCTTGGCCAGATCCTCATCCAGCTCCCAGGAGCCATTTGCCTTTTGGCGTGAAATCAGTTGCATAAAAACATTCTTTCTAAAACCTTTGTGAGAAATGAAAGAAGTAAGTCATGGAAAGCTATGGAGTCACTGGTATCATCACCTACCTGAGGAAGTCTTCTGAACTAGGAATCTGTAGGGACATTTCTGCAACAAGTCTACTGACTATTTCTAATCTGTGATGGGTGACCAGTTGCTCTGGGTTCTGAACACAATGGCAGCAGAGGCACCTGAGGTCTGGTCCTGATGTCAGGTGAACTGTGTAGGCAGAAATTGCCAAAAGGACTCAAAGAACTAGAGGCCACTCAGTTCCAATAGATTAGAAGGCATTAAGTGCTCTATTGTAGATTAATGAAGTTAGACTATTTCTGGCAAGTATATGGCAATGTCATATCTCACTTCCTGTCTGCTGCCTCAAGTAAGTCACCCCACAGGTAGAGAAAGCGCCAAGATGAAGCACATGTAAGGTTAGTTTGTGAGCGCCATATATCAAAAACACAATGTGAGGAACATTTCACCTTTATCATCATTTTTCTTGGTGGAAGAATATGACATTTGTGTCATGCTCAAGGATTCTGCATTTCTATTCCCAGGACTTGAAAATTCGAGTTCATCAAATGCAAGATCTGTGACAAACAAACATTTCTGAGAAAACTTTCCTTAGAATGAAACCCTCTCAGACTGTAGAAGTTTATCTTCGTGACCTCTAGGGATGCTCACCAGCTGATTTATATCGGCTTGATTTCATTCTACTGGTCGAGCCTTTCTTGCAACCTGCAAAACATAAATGTACAGTGAGACTGCCGAATCCATCACACACTGCAGCAAACAAAGATTAAAAAGTGTGAGGACTGGAGATATCCCTCTTCCTATCCATATCAGCTCTACTCACTAACCACAATGTGCCATTCTCCTGAGTGGCCGCCAATATAGACACACAACCTCTGAGCCTTCTAATTCCTACTGAGTCCTTTAAAACCCCTGACACAAGCTGAAACGTCACAGCTGCCTCTTATCTTCAATACTTTCTCTCTCACCTGGGATGTCTTCCATATGTTTTCACTACTATCAAAGCTCTACTACTAAATTCCCCTCCTGCCAGAACCCAAAAGTCACACCACAGGTTTACAATGCACTTCAAACTCTTCCATAAATATAAGAATTTTTATCATTCATGTAAGTAGCCCATGCTATATCTTAATGCAAACATCTTACCTTCCTCAAATCCAGTGACTGCGGCTCTAACACACTTCTCCCATGCCCTCAACTCTTTGGTATCATAAAAATTGTTTGATTTGTCACAAATATCTTATTATAGAATGCAATGTTTATATTCCTAGTATTTTATCTTAGGGTTTCATGTTTTCTAAAATGGTCTTTGATTTGAGTTGTACCTTCTAAGTCCCAAATCATCTAAGTTCCCAAATCTTTTATTTTTCTTCTATGTTACCTTTCTTTAATCTTTCATTTATTTTTCATCCTTCCTAAGTTTTGATCAAACAAATTAACACCCTTATCAGTACCTTCAATCCCATAGCCATAATTTCTAATCATTAAGCAGACAAAATTTTAGACCAAGAATCAATCCAGCCCTCTACCCTTTTCATTCTTAAGTTAAAGTTCCTGACCCCTGGAACAAATGATTCACAAAATCCAGGACTCTAATCCAGGACTGAAAAAGATGCACCAAATCCATCTGGACCTTCAGCCATCCCACAAAAATGATGCTGTTTTTGTTTTCATTTCCTAATAATTTTCTACAGCTCTTTCGTATCTCCACCATTTTCATAAATGCTCTTTTTAACAACTAACATTATCAGATGCAGTCTAGTCATCTGCTCTCTGTGTGACCGTTGACTAATTATCAACAACAACAGTTAGATTCAATGTTTATAGATGCTTCTGTGATGTGGGATGTCTCTCTATATGCTGTGAATATGTTTTATTACCATTGGTTAATAAAGAAGCTGATTTAACCAATAGCCAGACAAAATAGCGCTAGGCAGGAAATCTAAACAGAGATACTGGGAGAAAAAGGGCAGAGTGAGAGAGATACCAGCAGCTGCCAGAGAAGTAAGATGCCAGAGCATTACTGAAAAGCCCTGGGGCACACAGTGATACACTGACTATTAGAAATGGGTTAATTTATATGTAGAGCTACCTAGCAAGGGACCTGAGCTAATAGGTCAAACAGTTTGTAATTAATCTTAAGCTGTTGAGTAATTATTCGGGAACTGGCAGGCAGGAGAGAAACTGCCAGCTACACGTTTGCATTGTAATATGTCTTTGTGTCCATCTGTATTCCTATATTAATTCTCTCTCCCAGTCAGACTTAATCTACCTCTCAGAAAGCTTAAGGGAAGCCTTAAATCCTCGGTGTTGAAAGATGAAGAAAACACAGGAAAACTAAGAAATTAAATTTAAATTTAAAAAATTCCGAAACTTATCATTGTTTAAATGATGTCCACATTATGCTTAAGTTTGAATTGGGATAAAACTTACGATGCTTAACTTTATGTGCACGACATGATGTAGATATGATGGGCCTTGGAATCTCCCTTTGAGCGATCGGCCCCTGTACTGGCTGGTTGAGCTCCTTGTTTATGGCGAGGAACGCTGTGAAGGAGCTGAGGACTCCAGACTGAATGCTGATGCCCACCACATCCTCTTTCACTCTTTCTGAAGTCTCATGGAAGCCCAAGTCCTTGGTCTGGATCAATGACTTTGCAGCCAACCGATGAATAGTGAAGCTGAAAGAAGACACTGGCAAAAATTAAAGAAAACTAACTGCAAATCAAGTAGCCAAGACTCTTAAAAGCTAGTGATTGTAGACAGAAGGAAATGAAGAGAAGACTTCAGATTAACAAATGAGGATGAGAAGAGCTTAGAGGAAATAGGAGGTCATTGACAGGAATGACTGCACCATCCATAATGCAGACAAAAAGAAAGAGGCAAGAAGGAGAAGGAAAGGGAAGGGAAAGGTGGGGACGGGAGGAGATGGAGAAGCAAACCTGAATTCTTACCTGGCATTTGTCTTGGGTTGTAAGGAAAATGTCACCCTGTTTTCAAGACTCCTACCATTGAAGGTGTACTTGAGGCACACTTCTCCTGAGTTCTCTTCTTGCTACAAATAAGAGACGAACAGGAATGACAAAATGGACACACAACCAGGAATGTGGTGAGCACTAGGAAAGTTTCTCTGCACATTGCAACATCACACTAAGGATCAGGTAGTACAGGATAATATAGGCATGGTATGAAGGAGAGGATGGGAGGCTGAGTGCCTGGCAAGTGAACATGTTGTTGCTGTCTTCCAAAGGAATCCTCACTGTTAATAAATCTGGTGATACAGTGTCTCACTCAGGAAAGGAATAAACAATAAAAGGTACTCACAGGCATAGTCCCAGTTAGTTGGGCATAGGTGATTAACCTCTGACCCCTAAAAATGGCAGTCTGCTCTGGAGAAAGCATGCAAGCTGACAGACCAGGAGGCAAATCCCAGCTCAGAGAAATGTCATCCACTGAACAATTTAGAGCAAATTTCAGGGACCCAAGAGCCTGGTGGAGGAGAGAAGAGCCAGGATTATTTATAAGAAAAATAATATGATAGTCATCAATTGAGTATTTATCAGGACCAAGGATGGAATGCCTGCCGGGTCTATTTACTATTGCTAAGTGAGAAATGCAATTCTTTCTCTACTTGTATGTATACTAAGGTTACATTTGAGAGATGTAAAAGTGTAGGTTTGAATGAGGTAAATATTTCAGCAAAGTGACCTCTGCAGAAAAGAAATGATAATAACACACGCAACCTACATCTTTTGTTTTGTGTATTTTGCATGTGTGATTTCTACCCATTCTACTGAAATGACAGACTGTAATCTCAAACAGAGTAGTCAAAGCTTTCACCCTCTTTCTCTCTGGTCTTGAAATCAAAAGTCACAATCTCTTTATCTCCTCTCTGGATTTCCAGTTGCCACAGTCAGATGCAGGTCTTTATATATTAGAATGGAACCATTTTTAACAAAACATTAAGTAGAGTTACTGAGTGTATGACCTGAGATTCGTGAAAGTGTGTCCCCAAGAGAGTGGATCACCTGCCTTTGCAGCAGAGTCCCTTCATTACCTCTACTCACTCTGTACTTGTTACTCTGGATGGTCCTTCAGCTCTCACCTTGGTCTGCATCCTGTCCTTGTCTGTGATAAACTCTGCAGTGCCCCCTGTTGCCCGGGCAATGCCTTTGATTAAACTGGTGGAGGCTCCTTCTCCAATACCAAATGAGAAACATCTGCAACAGTGAAATGATGATTAGAGATGGGTTCTACATACCAGAATTATCAGTTAACATGCACTGGTCAAAAAATCATAAAGAGATAAGGTACTTACATTGAAGTCAGTGCAATATCATTTACAAATCTTATTTTATCTCTTTTGGATGTAATAAATGCTTTAAGTATTAAAATTTAATGCCATGAGTCTTCTATGAAAAAAAGACTCCGTTTCACCTTGCAGATGAAGATCTACAGCCCAGAATCTGCAAAATCTGCTGTAAGTACTTTCCCCACTACAGTATACAGAAGCTATGATAAGGAAATGAAGGAATTACTGAATTATTTTGTTTTAACTTTGTCATTCTTTCTCTCAAATAGATTATAATCAATCACATGCCTTAGTCAGGAGCCAGGTATAATTTACTTGCTGGGATTTGTTTAATCTAAGGAGAAGGGCTGCTTTTGGAAATGACTTACTTCAAGGTCAAAATCTATGAGTAAGTATAGAATATTCCATAAAACATAAAGATAAATTTATTACAAAGTATAAAAGAACATAAAAAATGAGTGCCCTAAACATTGAAACAAATTATGTAGCTAGATATATCAGAAAGTAATGCAAGAACCTGGGGGGGTCTTGGATAAACAGAACATGGATAAACAGAGAGGGAGAGGAGGGAAAAAAGAACTTGAAATGTTCTCCTGTCAGTGAGCTGTAAACAATGAGTTTACAGACCGCTATGTGGACTGGAGATGCAGCTCTGAGTACTGCTGTGCAGGGCTCTACATCAAATCCCTAACACCACAGCAGAAGAAGGACAAGAAGAGGTGGAGGACAAGGATGATGAGGAGGAGTCAGTCATCATTTTGTTTCTATATAAGTAAATTACTGATTTGGGGTAATTGTGTGTGAAATTTTAAGGATACCAAGTAAATATTAGTTTCATGCACACAATGAAAATCAGGTTGTCAGATGCTGACCTTTACATAAGTGATCCAAGTAACATCACCTGGCACATTGGTGATTTAGAAATATTTGTGTTGAAAATATCCAGTATTATCTAAATATAAAGTAAATTGGGATTCTATAAAAATAATTCAACGTCTCCTTCAAAATGCGATGGAACTATTCCTGCAAAAAGATTAACAGTAAAACAGGAATGAAATACTCTCAAAATTATTTCATGGATGGGAGGAGGGGCGGAAATGGAAACTTTTATAATTTAATAAAATTTAAAAAAAATATAAAAAAATATTTAAGAAATTATTTCATGGAACACAAACAAAATAAACAACGAGCTATAAAATATTTTATGGATAAAATTTACATGTAGATTCCAATTGATATGATTTTATCTGAACATTAATTGTAATGCAATGAGTGAGGTTGTTTTAATGTGGTTATTTAACAGAATGTCTTTGTCTTCTGAAGATGAGTGCATAATTCCTTATCTTGTTTTTATTCATTCCAACACAAGATATTTTACTTAGATTATACACAATTAATATAATTGAGAATTGACAATCTATCTCTAAAAGAAAACTAGAAAAAAAGTATAATTAAAACAATCTTGAAAGAGAGGTATGGTGATTCACACCTCTAATCCCAGCACTCAGGAGGCAGAGGCAGGCAGAGCAATATGAATTTGAGGACAGCTTGGTATGCATGAGTTCCAGGCCAGTCATGAGCTGCCTAGTGAAAGCATAACTAGAAATTAAGGGAAGAAGGGAGGGAGGGACGGAGGGAGGGAGGGACGGAGGGACGAAGGGACGGAGGGACAGGAGGAGGGAGGGAGGGAGGGAGGGACAAAGAAAGAAAATAAATCTTGAAAATGAGTGGTGAGTGGTGGAAAGAGAGCAGGAAAAGACTGGTAACTATCTAACTCTTGACCTGTTATGGATACACAGGGTGCATGCTGTGACAGCTCATCTGCCCAGATAAGATGACTTGAGTAAATTTCTATCTTTAATTGTCCATACCTTTATAATGAAAAAATGAATCAAGATCTTTCAGAGCTTCAGTAAAATAAGGAACAATGACTTTGTGGTATCAAAGTTATGTAGAAAACGACTTTTAAATTTTTTTAGAAAATAAGTGATCAGTCGATTAACTGAAAAAAAATCTTTGAGTCACTCTGTGCCTTCAGATGCATGGGAACCACTAGTATCATGTGGGAAAAGTCATATGTGGTGGCCCTTGATGTCTAGTCAACACAAGAGAAACCATACTCGCCTCATACCTGTGCTTTTTGCTGTTAAACAGAACTTCATTAATGACAGTAAATGTGTCACTAACTTCTCCATCAGTGAAGACAAAGAGCTGTAAAAGAAAGAATGCCTTCATTGAGCTACTGTTGCACTCATTTGAAGACAACAGCATTGGTCCTCAGAGATAACAACTGTTTCCAGTCCTTAAAGCTTTTGTATCCAGGAGAGGGAGCCTAGTGCTCCACTGTCACTTCCTCCATGCTGGCACAGAGACTCTTCAGATACCTGGGAATTTTCACACCCTACCCATGCTGCTTTCATCTGAAATTTTTATGGTACCCCAAAAGAGGACTGACTGCCTACCCCACAGAAAAGAGGAAGACCACTGCCTCTGGTCTTATTTCTCTTCACTGTAAGGTAGATAACTCAGCTCTACACATTGTTAACTCAGTTATATATGGGAGAACTGGCAACCAGGTTAGTGGAAAATTTCACTATTTTCTTAGCTAGATTCCAAAGCTTACCTGTAAGGGATGGCCAGGAATAGAGCGTGCCTTGTAAATCTTGCGAAGTGGTTTCAAGATTTCAGTTCCCCCTAAGTCTGCTTTTAGGTAATTAATTCTTTCCACTGCCTTCTCCATTGTTTCCTGAGTGTACCTCACACTCTCCCTTAGAGAAACAATCACATCTAGTTATGTAACAGTAGCACACACTGACACTGTGATAATCCTATCACAAAAAATTTTCCTAACAACCCAAATGTTCAGGTAAACTCTGCAATAGTCATTTTACCAATAAGGTTCTCCTTTAAAATACATTCTTTCATAGTTCATGGTCTTCCCAGAAACTTACGGAAAGAATTTTTCATAGGAAGATCCAAATCCATAAATGTTGAAATAACAACCCATAGGCAAACTCTTCAGCAACAGCAGCAGAGTTTCCTGAAGGTCACAGAAGACAAGGAGATGGAGTGAATTAGAGCTCTTCCAAACATCCAGACCTCAATCTAGTTCCTAATAGCACAAAAAGTCACCATCTGATGTCACCTTTTATTTCAAAACTGAGATTAGAGTGGCCATGCTTGTCATTGCTCAGATGGAGAACAAACCTACAGCTATAAATGGGTCCTACTCCTGCTCTTCCCTACCATCCTCGCATGGCACGGCTGAACAATGAAGAATCTGGCTTTACCTTGGCAGCTTCTATACGTAACTGAGAATCATTCTGGTTGTTCATCGGGAATCCCATACTTCCGGAGCGATCCATGAGGAACACAAATTCTCCACAGGCCTTTGAGGTCTCCACTTCTGGGACATCTGGATAAAAACTCACCATTGCCGAAGGAGCTCCCATCAAACTATCTGTAAAAAAAAAAGGAAAAGAACCCTGTAAGTTACAAGGAAACTCAGATGTCCTAGAGTTCCCAAGAACCAATCGTCAATACAATAGAGAACTGAGAAAACTCAAATATAAAGTCCCCGGTTTGTTCTTTTTGTTCTGTGTGCACAGGAGTAAATGTGAATTGTCAATATAAAAGAGAAAGAAGCAGAACAGAGTGGAGAGGAAGGGAAACAGGATAATAGTATATATAGCACAGCAGAATCTGTTGTGAAAATTCTAGTCATATTAACCATTGAATAGGATACATTAGCTTAAGCAGGTTTCACCACGAGATAAAGACACATTGGAGAGTTCTAACAGAGGTAAATCTCTTCAAATCTTACTAATGAGAAAGTGATCAAACAGGTCACTGATTCCATCAACTGGAACCTTGGGGGGGGGAAAGGTGCTCATGAAAATGACAAATTACAAAAGCAGGCTTGTCAAAAAAGTTATCCTAGAAAACTGGGTGAAAACACTGTAAATATGATCCAGATACAGACCTTTAGATACACAGCTCAGGTAAGAGCAGCATTATTTTGAATGTCTAAAATAGATATCTCCCCACCCTGAGAGATTGTTTTCATGACACGAACACTCTTCTGAGAAGCCTGACATCCATGAGAACGATGGGAGTGGATGTCCACACTGTTTAGAACAAGGTCATGTAGACAGTAGTCAGCTCTGCACGTATGATGTCTGCTAGTTCTTTCAAACCAATTCAAGTGATTTCACTTGGTTAATCAGAGCTTCCTTGTTTAAAAAAGAGCACTTCAACTTCTTAGCCGCAGTTTCCTCACCTAAAGTATCAAGGTACTAATTCCTATTACAGGGTTATTGTAAGGTCAGGTGATACAATATGCTTACAGATTTCGGGGTAGGGCTTAACTGATACTGAGCTGTTAATTAAAATTTTATACATTTTTCTGCTTTTAAATTTATGCAGTTTAACACTTTAAGTTTATTATATCATTTAGTTTATAGTGTTATGTCTCATGTTGGTGTGAGATTAAGGGTTTTACTGAGCTAAATTATTGGCTTGTTTATAATTGAGCACCTCTACTTCTTAACCCCTGTTTCTTCTTCTGAAACAATGGAGTAGTAATTCATACTATAGGGTTATTGTAAGGTCAGGTGATAACAATATGCTTACAGAATTCAGGGTAGGGCTTAACTGACACTGAGTTGTTAACTGTAATTATATACATTTTTCTTCTTTTAAATTTGTGCAATTTAACACTTTAAGTTTGTTATATTATTAGTTTATAGTGCTATGTCTCATGTTGATATCATATTAAGGGTTTTACTTAAGCCGTCTCTTAAGCTTCTCCTGTGTTTCTAAAGGGTATGGGAACAGGAATTTCCCTGGCAAAATACATGTCCTGGTAAACAAGGATTAGAAATCACAGATGGAAAATATTATGAAGACTAAGATATGACCAACTATGTCCCCTGATAGCCTGCCTGTACACCTTATCACAGAAAAGAGATGAAAAATCTTCATGAGACCAAGGAGATGGCAGTTATTACACAGTAACTCACAGCATCATGAGGTTCTATATTACGGATTAAAATATTCCTGACTGAAGACCAAGTCTGAATTTGAATACTTTATGAGAATCCAAAACGGAGACCAAGAAAATCAACAGTAACAGATAGCACATAGAGCTACAGGGAGATGAGGAAGTTTCAAGATTCCCAGGGAAGCTGGAATTCCCCTCAGTTACCTCAGAGAGAAGAGTGCAGTGTGAAGTCACCTTTACAAATATTGAAAATGCTATATGTATGGAAAGTTGGGTATGGAAAGTCAGCTTCTTGGTAAAGTTCTCACAGGGCTTTGGCAGTTACAGCAGCAAAAGCCTAAGCCCAGCTGTCACACTGGGAACACAACTGGCCCCCAAGGAACTTCCATATATCCAACCTGCAAATAAAGATTTGCAGCAACTTTGCTGGGTTGTGTGATGATCCCTGCACCCAAGTGCAAAATTGGTCAGAAAAGTCAAAGAGAGCAAAACACCTCTGTGTGCTGTGCCAGTTTTAATAAAAGTTAAGTGCACTCATAAGGAAATGTTCTAAGTGACGAACACTAGATGTACATAAGAAAGAAAACTCACTGACAAGATGAATTATGTCTATGAAAAATTCAAGTATGCCAAAAGAAAGAGTTTGAGCTGTATTCTTGTGATTTTTATTTTTCAAAGTCCAATTTCTACGGGACACAGAAGACCTAAAATTAACTTCATGTTTAATTTGGTCATTCCTATTATTCCTAAGACAAATATGAAAGAACCAGCAACAAGATTACATCCAGGTGTGCTGAACTAACCAATAAAACATAATTACTTAAAAAGAAATTATTATTTGTCTAAGAAGAACTATTATTTGCATATTGTCTGGTTTATAATGCTGCTATTTTCCTAATTCAACTATTATTTTATAGTGATATTAGGAATTAAAGCTACTTTTTCTATCTCATTCTTTGGAAAACTTCTATGTAAATTTTTTATTTGAATTTTTTGTACATTATCATAATAATGACATTATAACTCATTATGTAATGGATGGGATGACATAAGTAGTGACTGAATTACATTTTTCATCACTTACTAATGTTGGATATAATACAATTATAATATTAGTCAATATCACCTGCATATCAGCTAGGTATTTACATTTTTAAGAAGAAATATTGTAAATATTAGAATTATTGAAATGAATATTTGCTTTATTATTTGCACACTAATTCTTTCAAGCCAGTTGGAACAAACTGATTTGCTTCAACACCAATTGATACTGTAAACTCACCACAAAATGTAAAGCATGAGACTTCATTAGATTTGGACATCACTGATTCTCTCATATAAGAAATAATAACAAGATTATTTTTTATTTGTCATTTTTGTAAGACCAGTCATTGTCATGTGTTAATAATAGTTTGTGTATTTTCTTGTGAATTATTTAGTCATAGTTCCCTCTACTTATCTAGTTATCTATGTAAATTAGCCCATGGGACATAATCACCTGGTTACCTGTGAAGCCCAATCACTATTCCATGTGAGAATGAAAAGTCACTATCTCAAAGGCCATATTCTGACCCTGTGTAGAGGTAGAAAATCCAGGCTAACTGGGAGTTACAAATTAGAAAGCGACCAAAGTGAGAGACAGAAAATACCTGGCTTCTTGTCCTGCATCCCCATCTCCACAGCTACACTGGGGCTGTGCACTTCATTGTAGTAAATCAGGAGTTCCACATCCCGGTCAAACTTGTGTCCTTCAGCCAAGGAAATCTGAGAAGAAGACCAGCTCAGAAGCCATGTTAGAACTTCCACTGGTCACTTCCTGAGATAAGGTTAGAATTTGGGCTTATCCCATCGGGAGCACAATCAGAAGTAACAGAAAAGACTGTATGGAAAAGTGTCTACACTTTATCCAGAGCAGGGAAGGTAGATATGTGTCTCTCCAAGCATGGCCAGAAGAAGCAAGGTAGATGTGGGAAGAATGAATGATGACTAAGTCAACAGTGAAGACAGAGGGGACTGACAATATTGTTCCCTTTCTGTTCACCTGAGCAGACGTCTTGTCATCAGCCAAGTACTGCATAGGACTCAAGGAGCAGTTGGACTGGACCCTCTCAATGCCATGCTGGGAAGTGATGGTGGCAACCATGCTGAGTGTGTAGGGCAGGTCCTCCAATGGGACTATGGGGGTCTTTATATTCACGCAGCTCTTCGCTGACGGTTCTATAGAAAAGTACATTAATTATGTTTCCCAAGACAACAATTTCCAAGACAAACTTAATTTTGTATATTTCCCCAGCCTTTCTAAGACTAGTTTTCAAAGGAAGAAATTGCTTACCAGACAGCTGGTATCTTGGATTCAAGATTGCTGGGAGCACATAGCGCAGGGCCCCATCTGTCTCCAGAGGCAGCTCCTGCACATACCTCAGGGTCACTGCCACCTTAGCCCCAGGCTGGAGGTTCCCCACATTGCAAGAAAAGACATCCCTGGAGTAGTCATCCTCTTCCAATAAGTAAGCTTGGTGGCCCTGGGAGAGGGCATCCTCATAGATGCTATGGGCCTAGAGCAAGGGCAAACTGAGTTGAAACAAAATCACAAGTTGTCAAGAAAATATGAAAGACATGAAAGAAAGGTAGAACAGTCAACATCAGTACTTATGAATTGTTGATAAAAATAATAGTAGAATGCAATTTGCAAGACAGAAGAGAAGAGATAACAAACTCATCCTTCCAACCTGCATTTTCTCCTGCAGTTCGGCCACAATTTTCTTCCCATCGACCAAGGCTTCAAAGCTGTAGACAGCAGAGTCTTCATCCATTGGGAACACAAAGAAGGCCTCCAAGGGGACTTTCTCTTCATTCTCATAATTTAAGGTTGCAGAGACACTAGCCACAAAGTCATTGATGGACAGGGTTACTGAGATGCTCTTCAGTGGCACTGGGGAAGATCCAAATGGTTAGGAGATTAACAAACTTTAGAAGAATGACACTATAGATGAAGAAATTTGCTGGGTCCAATGACCTCATCACTAAGAGTTGTAAGTCAGGCTTACCTGGCTCCTTGTTGCCAGTGATTAAACCACAGTGCTGCTCCATGGTGACTGCACGTTTCTGTGGAAATGGCATCATTAAGAAATCCATGATATGGTTACACCATTAAACATGGCAGCTTATGTGTTTCTCTCTTGCAGATCACACAGCAGCGTAGAGAGTAAATAAGTGACGGCGGTTTGATTATTTAAGTGACTATCAGTATCATCCTGTCTGCCCCCCAACACCTATCACATTGCAACCAATGCTCACAGAACAGAGAGAAGTATTAGAAGTTTTCTAAGAGCCAGAGGTCAGGGAGGACTACTGTAAGTCGGTGTCTTCTGTCCATGACAGGGCCATTGTAGTCATGAACTCAGATTAGGTGCTGTTTTCATCACAAGACATGCATCATCAAACCAGTCAATATTTAAGCACAGACTGGAGAGGGGCACCTACAGTACAACCCATACCTGAAGAGCTTTGCAATTGAAAGTCACTTGGAAGGGGAGAATCATTTTTCATCAAGGAAATGATCCCTGGTAGATTGACCATGCTCCAAAATATGACCCTGAACCTATGCACGTATAAACAGCACTAATTGGTGTCCGTAGATTAAGGAAAAGATAAAAAATAAAGGGATATACTACTAAGAGAGGGATCTATTGTGGAGGTGGGGGTGGCTGGAAGGTAAGTATGGGGGGTAATCAAATTATATTGCAAACATCTATAAAAATTTCAATGCATAAATTTAAAATATTGTATATTTTAAAAGACATTTTCAGAAAGATTATGCCTGCAACATTTCTTTTAAGACTGACTTTCCTAAATATATTTTATGAATTATGATTTTGTGTAAATCTTGCATGTAATATGATGACAAAGAGATAGGTTGATTTACCCAGGATATGATTTACATGATTATTTTATTTCCAGAGTTTGGAGATTGGGATAATCCCAATCATGGTCCCCAATAATCCTGGAAGCTGTTTTAGGCCTTTGTAAACCTGACCCCTTGCCAGCTTGCCTCTCGCTGTTGTCACTGTATGTGACCACAGTGGCCAACGCTAACAACGGTGGTTTCCCTTGGAAGTTTGTCCTAAGGACCATAAAGGGCACAACTGGGAGCACACATCATGCTTGTTCAGATATCAAGGATGAGTCCCCTCAAACTACAGACTTCTCTTTCAGATCTGCAGGCTGGAAACCTCTCTTGAAAACATCTTTTGTTCCCTAATCAACAGGGATTCTGAAAGCTCTGGATGACTCTTTCTAGGTCCTTTGGACTGATATTAATGACCATTTATAAATTTCAGTATGTGGTTATGGCTCAGTACAAAAAAATTGTCAGCTTCTACAAAATCCTGAGTTCCATAACCAAGTCTTATGTCAGGCTGAAGGCTGGGGACACCTCCTTCGTCTCTCTGGAAACCAACCCTCTGATATCAGTGGTGTTTCCGAGAGATTTCCTATGTATTTCAGTCACACACACACACACACACACACACACACACACACACACACAAATCTATCAAAAAATGGGCTGTTTTCTACTCCTGCCATTTTGAGCTATTGGGAGAGTCTGACAGCATTGGAATGGCTCAGATCTGGGCAAAAGCACAGAGGGAGCAGCTAAGCAAGGAAGAGGAGGACAGCAAGCACTGGGTGCAGGTAGAGAGGCCTGGAGCAGGGGCAGAAGAAATTTTACCTACAGCAGCAGGAAGATTGGAGGAGGAGACTCACCAAGAAGCAGTTCAGCTTCAGGATGGACTGAGTCCAGCAGCAGAGACCTCAGGCTGCCAGTGACCACTGCAGGAGACTGACAGAGGAGAGGGGAGGACCAGGATCCCCTACAGGAAACATTGATTTCCTGATTCCAACCTTAGAAAAAATTTATCTGAATGACAAATTCATCCTCTCCTGACCCTTCCTCACTAATCTGTGGCAAGTGTTCCTTCTGTCTCACAGATTGGAAGCTCTCAAAGACCCTTGAGGTAAAGACTGGCTCCCAAGGAGACCAAAATTATAGCCTTAAACTGGATGCCACTAGATAACAAAGGGTTAGGAAACTGCCTGTGCAGTGGGCCTGCAGCTAGGTAACGGTGATGTCAATGGCATGCAGGAAGCAGGGTGAGTCAGCAGGCCATATCCTGCAGGTTATAGCTTCAGGGAGAGGAATAAGCTGTGCTTCAAACCAAGCACAGCGATTGCAGTGTGGTGTGTAGGGCCTTTAAAAGAAATAGTTTTTAAAATTGTAGACTTTCTATCTAAGACATTCAGTGCTAGATATTTACAAAAGACAAAAATTCCATCTATCAGATGTGAATAGAGAAGGGTTCATTGACCTCAATGAATGGAGAAGGAAAGGTCTGTTTCCTTAGGACAAACTTACTTAAAACTGAGAAGAAAAACAAAAAACAAACAGCAACAAAAATCTATTTTTTATGAGGAAGGTGAGAAGGAGGGGAAGAGAGAAGGAGAGAGAATCTGAGCCTGAAATAGACATCATTTATGAACTTTTAACCCAGAGAAATCTTCAGACATCACACACCAGGATCAGTTTCCACCATTGCCACCCCCCAGACCCTAGGGCTTCCAGCTAAAATGTACTTAAATTCCTTGTGGAGTTGGCTATAATAAGGAGCTCTTACCCTTTAGATGCAGCGGGTGGGGTTCTTCACAGAAAACAGAACAGAGTCTTCACCTACTTCCTCAAGTCCTCTCACTTACAGCAGCTGTAAAAGAAAGTAAAGGCAGCTACAGTCAAACTTCCAGAAAGACCCGCCCCCTTCTAGGGACCAGTTGTAAGTTACTATTGTATCAGGAAGGGATGGACTGAAAATTCTCAATGAAGTAATGAATTTCTGCTTCTGTGTTGATGGAAGGATAAAAGTTTTATTTAAAATTTAGAGCAATTTCTCTTTTTCTCCCCTTTGCAAGGTCTACCCAGATAAATAACTGAAGATAGTCAGAGGCCGTGAATTTGTTTTTTGAGTTCGATTACTACAACTGTACTATCTAGAAATGATATAAAATGCTATACAGGTTTGTAACAAGCTTACTCAGAAGTAGCATCCTCTTTGCTATACTTGATGTACATTCTTATGTCTATAAAATTAGGATAAAGTTATAATTACTTCGTGGACTGTTTTAAGTTATAACAGATTAAAATGAATATGAAGCTTACACACACATGTGCAAATATATAGTACAGCTCAATGTGAACATAGATTCTCTATTATAAACAATGGAAATGTTTTCATATGTCAGTCTGATTGTAAATGAGAATGCGTCTGTTTAGCAGTCTTATCCTGTGATGTTCCCTCTCTTCACTCTAATTAATCTCTGTTGTCTGCAGTATCGAGGTACTAAAGTCAGATACTAGCAAGGATGGCAGAGCTCAAACTCTGGTTTGGTGGAATCAAAGTTTAGAACTTGAAGTTGGCTGCAGAGCAGATGTGAAGGTTTTCTAGGAATGCAGTGAATCAGGGAACACATCTAGGATTCTAGTTAAGGATAATCACATAAAATAACAGTATATATGAAATTATGAAAACTTACATTTACTAAAGCATAAACAAATTTTATTCATGTGTTATTTGTGTTGATTTTATTTATGGTGTTTATTGTGAAAACAAAGTTTTCTCTTTTCCTATAAAGTACTTGATACAATAAATAATGAAGGGTTTTGTGGAGAAACATTTCTAAAGCTGTGACTGGCTAGTTAAGATTCTTCCAAAGTTCACATATCTCTGAGGCATTATTTTCTATTTTCAAATATAATGAAATACTGTATCATGCATCTGCAAAAGACTTAGGAAATTTTTTTCAAGATAATGTGGGACTGTCCATTTGTTTAATACTCTAGTATAAACGTGATGAAGCAAGTGTTCTTAATTAAGATTATCATTCCCATGTCAATTTCAAATTGTCACCACATTTTTGGCAATGTATTTGGCAGTGAGACTGAATAGAAAAGAACATGCTCTTGGTTTCTTAACCATGGACCTCTTCCAAGAAGCAGTAATTATTTGCACAGAAGCAGATGGTATACATTACATCAACCACTTTACTTCAGCTCTTGGTGTAATCAAGAAACCTAGTAACACAAGGGGAATGAAGCCAGTGTCGGATAATCTTTTTCTCATTAAAAATATTTCTTCTTCTAGTCATGCTTCATAGTTAGAGTAATTTCTCAATGGAAATGCAGTGGATCTCTGGCTGTAGCTCTCTCCTCAGAGGGAACACATGCTATATGTAGTACTCATTTATGGTATTAGTCATGTAGGTACTAGGGGCAAATTAATTTTACATAAATCTTCACTTTTTGAATAATTATTTTATGGTGATAAATCTTCAGTTTTTAAAAATCATTAGTTCATAGATATCGGTTTTTGATAAACATATATATTTTGAACATGAAAACAGCTACACTGAGCCTTGTTAATGATGTTGTAGAGCTTTTTACTCATTGTTCAAGTCTTAAGTTTCTGTTAGAAAGCTTTAATTGACACAACTCAGAACTAGCATTGTTACAGTTGTATTCCTGAAGACCTGCCCAATCAAGGTGCATATTCCATTGTCTAGCTGGTCTTACTGTTGCCTACATTTGTAATTTTCTGAAGACTGATGATTCTATATTATTATTAATTCCCACAGCAACATTTTTACTGAAATCAGCATTAAATATTTTAGTATTAGTTCACATTTATGACAATTAATACCTTCTTTTTCACCATCATATACATATTCATTGTTACTTTTCATATCTTTCAGAATAACCTCATGAATTGTCTAGCCCAGGTTACTCACAGAATGTTTTGATTCAAGGCAAGAAGAAACACAAATTACTATGGATTTCTAAAGCTGTGACTGGCTAGTTAAGATTCTTCCAAAGTTCACATATCTCTGAGGCATTATTTTCTATTTTCAAATATAATGAAATACTGTATCATGCATCTGCAAAAGACTTAGGAAATTTTTTTCAAGATAATGTGGGACTGTCCATTTGTTTAATACTCTAGTATAAACGTGATGAAGCAAGTGTTCTTAATTAAGATTATCATTCCCATGTCAATTTCAAATTGTCACCACATTTTCAATAACTGGCATAATTTTCTTTTATATAAAGAAAATCTTCTAATTTCAAACAATGTGAATAAAACTGAGTGAATCTTGAGTTTAAAAAAAGGCAGTACCAAATGTACAAATTCCAAATGAGTCTACTTATGGAAGGTATTTAAAAGAGTTAAATCCATGGAAGCAAAGAAAAAGAAAAAAACAGCAATGGTTACCAAAGAGGGAAGTTAACAGGGACAAAATAGAGTTCTTCAACTGGTACACATCTTTAGCAATGTTGATTGGTAAGCAAGGGATATATAATAAGGAAAGATGTGACACTGTTCACTAAAAGCTTCAGAAGGCAAATCTCATGTTAAACATTCTGTTAAGAAAACAAAGGGACACAGGTGGTTACTAATTTTTTTTTTTTATCTGCGGAAGTTTACTTGATTCTAGAGGGGTTTCCAGGTCCAAGGAGAGATTCCCAGATTGTTTCCTGGACAGCAGAGGAGAGGGTGCCTGAACTGGCCTTGGCCCATAACCATACTGATGAATATTTTGCATATCACCATAGAACCTTCATCTGGCGATGGATGGAGATAAAGACAGAGATCCACATTGGAACACTGGACTTAACTCCCTAGGTCCAAATGAGAAGCAGAAGGAGGGAGAAACCCTGACTGCTCTTAGGGCTGGAGAAGGAAGAGAAGAGGGAGTGGGAGGAGTGGGAGGGTATTGGGAGGAGGGGCAGAAGTGGAAACTTTTATAAATTAATAAAAAAAGAAAACAAAGGGACATAAGAAAAACTTGAGAAGTGATACATGTACTAACTACCTTCATCTTGGTGGTATTGTCATGAGTGTATATATATATTTCCAAACTGCTCATATTACATTTCATTAAATATGTGGAACTTACCTTATAGCTATTGTATTTCCATAAAAGCATCAACAACTAAAAATGTATAAGGATCAGACATTATTTGGCTAAGTCTTTGAAGGCAGGAACATATAAGATAAAAAAGTTCACATATAATCTGAGCCGTTTACCATAATAGAATTTGATGGGAAAATTGTTCACATACTGGAGATGGAAGGGAACAAAATTTATCCTTAGTCTTGGAATACACAAATAATAACTAGTGTCATGACTACATCATTCCACTGGTCTCATGATCATTGTGCTTCAAAGAGTTCATACCTTTGTGTTAAATCACATCTTGTGTTAAAGATGTTGGGTTAATGATTTCCAACACATGAAATTTTTGGGATGTATCTTATCCACAGCCATATGGAAGATCTGTTTTGTTAACTGGAGAAAAAGAAGGATGTACATTCAGAAAATAAGGAAGGTTTTCTATATAAATAATTAGTAAAATTGTCAGTTTTGAGGCCAGAAACTTCTGCTTCAATCTGCTTATCAATACCTAGACATTCTTTAAGCTTTTCTAGAAAGGTTTGCAACTGACCGAGGATTAAGGATAGTTGTCCTCAGTAGGTCATTGCCAACTGGAGAGTTAGAAGAAAACAGATGTCAGTCAGGAAGTCTGTACCTAACTTAAGTGTCTTTTCAATTTATGGATGTTGTCTCTTAAAGTATAGTTTTACTGTAATATTTAAAATAATTTCTAAGAATTTTATCTATTAAAACAGTTTATTAATTATATTCAGCTCCAAAGACTCCCTCTACCTCTGTCCAAATCAACTTCCTACCTACTTTTTTACTCCTTTCAACTTAGTGTCCACTTTATAATGTTTTGTATGACCCACTGAGTTTAATTTGTGTTGACAATAAACCCATGGGTGTGTGGTAATACACTGGAACTTGATCAACTTTCCAATGTCTATACCCTTAAAGAAAACTAACTCTATCTTTACTAGAAGCTCTTAACTGTTTATAGTTCCTCAGTTATGAGTCAGGTCTCATGATCCACTCCCACATCCTTCTGAAATATTCACTGATTTGACCTCCTGCAGACACTGTGCAGGCAACCACAATTGCTCTGAGTTCCTGAGCACTGAGGTCTTGTGATATCTAGAAAAACATTTTGCCCCAATCTTCACTGATGACTGCCTCCTCTAATCTTTTTGCAACTTCTTCCATGATGGTTCCTGAGCTTTGGGAGAGGATTTGTGACATAGAAGTTCTATTTGTGCCTGAGCACTCCACAGACTTGCTCTCTCTACATTTAAACAGTTGTGAGTTTCTGTGTTAACCACCTTCTGCTACACAAGGAAACATCTCTAATGAGAACTGAGAATTGCATATAATCTACAGGTATAGAGTTAGGAAATTATATGGCAGTTTGATATTTTCATTTTTTTTTAGCAAAATGATTGTAGGAGGCTTACTACTGAGGCAGATCACAGTACCAGGAATGTGTTCTCTACTAGAGAACAGGGTTTAAATCAATAAATAAGTACTTGATTACTCCCATAGCACCCATGGAACTATGAAACCTATGGACACATCTTTCCATGGCAGTTATTATTATAGTTCAGACTACTGATGGCCATTCTACCTGTGCTGGCTAGTTTTATGTGAACTTGACATAAACTAGAGTCAACTGAGAAAATTTCCTCATCAAATTGACTTTTGGGGCAAATCTGTTATCCATTTTCTAGACTGATGATAGATATGGGAGGGCAAAGTTCATTGTAGTT